GTGTGTGTGTGTGTGTGTGTGTGTGTGTGTGTGTGTGTGTGTGTGTGAGAGAGGCTGTTCCTTGAAAGCATTCTGAGGCAGGAGGGTTTCTGTGGTCCTCACAGCCCCTGAGTTTCCTGCTTTTCTGCATTTGCATTGGATGTGGTGGTGTGCCTTACACAAGTCATCCTCATGGGGGGGCCCAAATGTGGTGGATCTGAGAGCCTGCTCAGATTCAATGTGCCACCAACCGTGACCCCGTGATCCCTTCTGCAGCACTGCTCTCCAGCCCCTTTTCCCCTGACCGGTACATAGAGCCAGGGCTGCCCCATCCCAGGGAGTCAATGCTCATCCCAGTTCAGCATCGTGTGAGCACGCTGCTTTTTGATAGAAAGTTCGTATCCTTATTGGAGTCATGTATGAAAACATTACAGAGAATGGTTTGAACCAGGGCAGCAGAACTCTAGTAGTGGTACCAGGGGAACCTTGGGCCTATGGCCTCCACCCTCCCAATGGTCTGTTTTGGTCATCATGGGACTTTCTTAGGGTCACCATGCTGCAGCTATGGGATTTCACGAGCCTCCTCCCTCCTGGACCCCTATCAATATGGGGACCCACAGCCCAGAACCTCTGCACAGCGAGACCTGTACCTTTCTGGCCAGTCTTCTGCTGTCAGAAGGAGCAGCTTGTGACTTTCCTCCCTGTATGGGGTGAGCACTGTGGTGGAGGAGAGTGATTCCTTTTCCCCTGAAGAGGCATTGCCAGAGCAGCAGCAGGCCAGAGCCTGAACCCATGGAGGTCGACTGTGTGGAGAGCAACATCAACCCTATAGAGGTGGGCCTACCTCCAGAGGAGGAACTGATGGAGGTGGATCAGCCCCCAGTGGGACTGTGCAGGTGCTGTAAGACTGTGCTTGCCTGTGGAAGTCGTGGGCACTGGGAACAGTGCTCCAGGGGCTCTTGCTTTTCATCTGGGTGTAGAGGAGTCACCATCCACCTGAGAGCCCATGCTGCTGCTTCCTCTCACCCTTTCCTTCTCATCCCTCTTTCTTTCCCAAGACCTCTCCCCTCTTTCTCGAGCTCAAAGGAGAAGGGAAAGACTGGCACTGGTGACCTGAGCCAGGACAACAGGAGTGCAGCAGGCAGCTACAAGCAAGCTCCATGCAACCTCAGAGTGAACCCTGAAAGAGAGGATTGGACTGGGACTGGAATCCCCTGCAGAGCTGCTCTGGACAGCTGGAGGACAGCGAAGGGCCCAGTGCTCTCTGTGGCCTCCAGGCACTGCCTTAGAAGCTACAGAAGCGGCTGCTGCTTTGGGGAAGCGGAAGACTTCACATGGGATGCAAAGATGAAAGGGCTGTTCAGGTGCTCCATCAGGACTCTGCTTCCAGGAAGGCAGGCCAAGAAAAGACGATGACCGAAGAATGCTGAACAATAAAATGGCAAATGCACGTCAAGCCAGTATGCATCTCCTCTCCCTTCTGGTACTTGAGGGTCTGTCCTGGGCCTCTGCTGTCTGCCCGCGGGGTGAGGCGCAGCCCGGGCCTCGGGGCTGGGCGGGGTCCGGGCAAACGGCGGCCCCGGGCAGGGTGCGGGCACGGCGGGGCGCAGTTCGGCACAGCTCCACACGAGGTGGCGGCTGGCGGTTTTTATTCTTGGAAATCGCACGCCGACCAGCGAGCGGCGTCCAGCCCCGCACTCCGCCAGGCGGAGCCCCTCGGATCGCAGAGCGCCCGCCGCTGCCGGAAACGCCGCCGCTGCTCGGCCCCTCCCGCACTCGTGGCTCGCGGCGTTCCGCCAGCAGGCGACGCTCTCGGCTGGCGGCCGCCCCGCGCTCGCGCCCGGCGCCGCGCCCCGCCTCCCGTCGCTCCGAGGGCGGCGCTGACGCGCTGACGTTCGCCTGCAGCGTCTCGTCGCGGGCCGCGTGCGCGCGCGGCGTCGGTACTCCAAGATGGCGGCGGCCAGCGGCAGCGGACCGGGCTGCGTCGAGGCGGCGGCGGGCGGCAAGCGGGG